AAGGAAATGCCCAGAACAACACTCGCTTGATAGAGCAAAGCTGGAACCCAGCCAAGCCCCGACAGTGTCAGGAACCGAAATGCATCTGCCCAGCCAACCCCGAGCTGCCAGTGAAAGCGTGACATGGCGCTGAGGGGTCTTGCTCAAAACAGGACATCAGTGGTAAATGTGAGGTCACAGCTCATGAGGGAGAGGCAGAGTATGGGAAAAGGCTGCGAAAGATCAAATGCCCAGCTCCTGCTGGTGTTCCATGTGCTCGGGTCATAGAACCAAGCTTGATTGAGTTACAGATTTTTTTTATTTTGTTATAATCCTGGAGTCAGCCAGTGCCACAAGCTGGAGGAGCGCTGTAGGAAATGCATGCCTTGGCCGGGCACTGTGGCTCACGCCTATAATCCTAGCACTCTGGAAGGCCAAAGCAGGAGGATTGCTCAAGGTCAGGAGTTCAAAACCAGCCTGAGCAAGAGCCAGACCCCCGTCTCTACTAAAAATAGAAAGAAATTAATTGACCAACTAAAAATATATAGCAAAAATTAGCCGGGCATGGTGGCGCATGCCTGTAGTCCCAGCTACTCAGGATGCTGAGGCAGGAGGATTGCCTGAGTCCAGGAGTTTGAGGTTGCTGTGAGCTAGGCTGACGCCACAGCACTCTAGCCCAGTCAACAAAGTAAGACTGTGTCTCAAAAAAAAAAAAGGAAATGCATGCCTCACTGAGGCATTCAACCCCTGAGCATAGCCTGGAAGATAAAGATTTTTAATTACAGAAAATAATGTGTGTGGAAGCTTGCTTTTTCTGACAAAGCTATTCTTTTCTTCAGGCATCAAACCTAATGAACAATCCCCAAGTTCAACAGCTGTAAGTGACAACCATTCTCCTTTGGATCTGCTCTTGGCTAAATGTCTTTTTACTTTGGCAAGATACATATAACATAAAACTCAACATTTTAACACTTGAAAGTGTACAACTTAGTACATTCACAATGTCATTTGACTGTTACCAGTATTTTTAGTAACAAAATATTTTCATCACTTCCAAAAGGAAGCCCTGTCCCCATCAGCAGTCACCCCCCTCCCCTCCTGGCGACCACAAATCCACATCCCGTCTCTGTGGCTCTGCCTGTTCTGGACATTTCATATAAATGCAGTCTCACACTGTGTCCTGTGTCTGGCGTCTCTCACTGAGCACGATGTCCTCAAGGTCCCTCCACGCTGTGGCCTGTGTCACAGCCTCGTCCCTTTCCGTGGCTGAGTGACATTCCAGTGTGTGGACGGACCGTGTCTTGTGTGTCCTCATCCCTCAGTGCTCACATGCTGTTTGCACCTTTTGTGAACGCTGCTGCTGGGAACACCGGGGCACAAGTTGTTCTTTGAGTCCCTGTTTAGTTACCTTGGGTGTGTCCCAGGAATGAATTGCTGGCTCACAGGGTGACTGTTTAACCTCCCAGGGAACCACCAGCCTGTGTCCGTGGTCAGATCGTAAAGCACAGTTGCCCAGCCACAGCTCTGCTGGCACGTGGGGCCGAAACGTCCTCTGGGGCAGAGCCGTCCTGGCCCCTGCGGGTGCTGCCCCTGCCCCAGTCATGACAATGCTGACATTGCCCAGCGTCCTCTGGGGGCAGGCTCACCACAGCTGGGAACTGCTGTCTTTGCCAAAAAAGGATATTCCTGGGAAAGCTGACAAAATTCACAGGGCCTGAGGAGGGCGAGTTTGGGACGTGCAGGGTCCGACAGGTGGCAAGAGAAGGGGAAGGGGTGAGAAGAATGAGGGGCCACAGTGGGGCTGGGCAGCTGCTGTCCTGTCTGTGCGTCACCGGCTCTCTGCTTGCAGCATGTCCGGGATGATTTCGGGCGGCCACAACCCACTGGGAACGCCAGGCACCAGCCCTTCGCAGAACGACCTGGCCAGCCTCATCCAGGCGTGAGTGGCCCCTGGGGAGGACGTGCTGGGCGGCAGGGCAGGCGCATGCACAGGAGGGAAGCGGGGACACAGCAGGGCCCGGTGTCCTCCAGGTGGCCAGAACCACTTGAGGGGTCAGTGGGCGCAGGCAGGGAGGTGCGTCCCCTCCTCCTGGGCCCGACTGAGCCCCGACACCCCCCACAGCGGCCAGCAGTTCGCTCAGCAGATGCAGCAGCAGAACCCGGAGTTGATAGAGCAGCTCAGGAGTCAGATCCGAAGTCGGACCCCCAGTGCCAGCAACGACGACCAGCAGGAATGACCTGCCACGTGAGTCCCGGCGGGGCAGCAGGGGGCACGGGGGCCAGGTGTGGGAGGGTCACCCTGAGTCACGGAGGCCGGTGGGGGGGGGTCTCTGATCCCGTGACCCTCCTGTGGATCAGAACTGTGGGGGGGGCTGGGACTGATCCCCACAGGCAGCCCACCTGTGCACAAGCGTCAGGACAGCCACTGTAGAGGTGGCACCGAGGTCGCCCAGGCAGTGGGGAAGCCAGGCACCTGCCTTCGCACCCATGCCCGAGTGATCTGCCTGCATTTTGTGGAGTTCTTTTGTTGCTGTTTTCTCACTGTGAGCAAGTGTTACGTTTACAGTCGCTTAAAAACATACCCAGAGGCCGGGCGTGGTGGCTCACGCCTGTAATCCTAGCACTCTGGGAGGCCGAGGCGGGCGGATTGCTCAAGGTCAGGAGTTCAAAACCAGCCTGAACGAGACCCCGTCTCTACCAAAAATAGAAATAAATTAATTGACCAACTAAAAATATATATACAAAAAATTAGCCAGGCATGGTGGCGCATGCCTGTAGTCCCAGCTACTCGGGAGGCTGAGGCAGGAGGATCGCTGAGCCCCGGAGATTGAGGTTGCTGTGAGCTAGGCTGACGCCACGGCCGCTCACTCTAGCCTAGGCAACAAAGTGAGACTCTGTCTCAAAAAAAAAAAAAAAACATACCCAGACATTGCAGGTGGGTTCAGGGCCCCGTGGCCGTTCTCCATGGCCCGGAGCTCCTGGACTCCATCTCATCTCCAGCTGACGCCGGCTCCCTGGGGTGGGTGGCAAGTAGCCCTGTCTTCCCCAGGAGATGTTTTATTCTGCTTTGACAGGGCCTTTTTTTATTTTGCCATCATCTCCCCTCACACACATACCCACACTTAAATTTTTTAACCATGCTCACTATAGAAAATTTTAAAGGTCAGAACATTAAAAAGCATTAAGAGTAACCTTTTATCTTTCTGCCCAGAGCAGCAACCAGCATTAATATTTTGGGCACCATTTCTTCTTCTCTCTGTTTTGTTGTTGTTGTTGTTGTTGTTGAGACAGGGTCTCATTCTGTTGCTCACGCTGGAGTGCAGTGGTGTCATCACAGCTCACTGTAGCCTCCAACTCCTGGGCTCAAGCAATCCTCCTGCCTCAGCCTCCCAAATAGCTTTTTAGAGAAGGGGTCTCACTCTGTTGTCCAGGCTGGTCTGGAACTCCTGGGCTCAAGTGATCCTCCCTCCTTGGCCTCCCAAAGTACTGGGATTGCAGGTGTGAGCCACCACACCTGGCCCTTCTTTTTAATAAGCTTTTACAATTTTGTTTTTTTGTTGTTGTTGTTAAGCATATTCCAGATCAATTTTACACCGTTGTAACCTTATACCCAAAGTAGCTTCACCAACACTTTCATGTCTATACTAGTAGCACCTTCTATAGAGATAGTGGCCATGTTCTCTCTCTGTGCTGATACAATGCGCCCAGCCACACGTGGCCACCTTGTGAACATGGAATCGCTCCTCCCTGGATGGTGCTCCTCATCCTGGGCTCCCACCTGGGACTTAGCCCGCGTGTCTCTCCCTCCAGCTGCCCCGACCTCGTCCTCCCGGCCGACTAGAAGCGTTCTCATGTTTTGCCACTTCCTCCTGCTGGGCCGCTCGAGAGAGAGAGAAGAAGAAATCGGATGTGCATGTTAAGATGGATTTTTCTCCCTGTTTTTCCTTTGCCCCCTCCCTTTTTGTACTTCCTCACAGCCCCCAGACCCCTCTCGAAACAAGAGCCAGCAAGCCGAACGCAGACCAGCAACCGTCTCCCCTCCACCCCCAGGAAGCCCAGTCACTAAAGTATTTTCTAGAACTCTGGGGGTGCGTCTCGGGCTGCCCTTGGAGAAGTGGCAGGTTTTGGGTTGAGCCACGTGGCGCATTCCCGTGGCTCCAGGAGCTGTTTTTATAGTCCTCCCATCCCCCGCCCCGCGCCCCTCATCCTTGGGTCTGTCTTCAAGAACTTTCCTGTCCTGTGAGAAGCCACCTTCTAAGTCGACCTCTCTGCTCGCCCGGCCCCCCGGCCACCTGCCTGCCCGGGAGAGCTCACTGCCAGCCGAGGCCTGGGCACCGTCGTCCGCCCGTGCCCTCGGGCCATGTGTCTTTGCATGAGGAACTCTTTAGCTACAGACGCCTGAGAGACAACTGTCACCCGAGCCTCGCCGGCCCAGGAGCCATCCTCGGTGCCCAGGACCAGCGTCTGTGACTTCTCTTCCAGCTGAGCGTGTTGAGAGACACGAGTTCCATTTCTTCTCACCCTCTCCAGTCCTCACGGCTGACACCCAGCGGCGTGATCGTGGCCTGCTGTCTCTGGCAGAGGTCCGACTTTGTGTCCCATTCCACTGTCCTGCCCTGGTGTGGCACAGGCCCAGGGTCCGTGTAGGCCTGAAACAGCCACCAGAGCTGGGAAGCGTGGCCTTGGCTCCTGAGGGCTGGGGAGGGAGGTGAGCTGTCCTGGCGGCAGTGTTGTCAGCTGGCGTGTCCTGAGGCTCCCTGGCAGTCTCGGGCCATCCTCGAGGTAGACGCAGTACCGTGTGTCGTAGGTAACCAGTAGGAAGAAGGGCCGCCACCGGGCACGGCAGCCAGGCGTGCTGACTCCCGTGCTAACCGTGGTGCGGAACGTGACGTGTGGGAATAAATAGACGTCGCAATCTCTGTCCATCACTGTGTTGACTCTGGGCGCCACCGACACCCACTCCATCCCACACTTCCAGGAGCCCCCAGCACGGAGTTTGCAGACCACCCAGGCTGTCGTGAGTCGTCTCAGTGCCCGGAGGAGTGTCAGCCCTCCCTTAGGTGCCCACCCTTCCCCCCTCCAGTCTGGAAGAACCAATATTTGTAGGGGTGAAGTTCAGGTTCAGCCGTTATCCACTGTCAGCTCCCAGAAATCACACCCCCAAAAATCACAAATATCAGCGATGAGAGAGCAGCTACCCGCGGGGAAGGCTGGAGGCGAGGCTGGAGGGTGGGCAGGCTTCTTCAGGTCAAGGCAGCGGGTCTCACCTGGGCAGGAAGGGCGCCCTCGGCAGTGTCTAGGGAACTTGTGGCTGTCACAACCACAGGGGGAGAGCACCTGGCGTGGGGTGGTGGAGGCAGGGCCACCGCTCAGCACCTGCAGTGCCCGGGACGGCCCGATGCAGAACGAGCGGCCCCTGTGTCCACGCTGCGGAGGAGCAGAGCACCTGCGGTGGGGCTGTGAGTTTCGTGCTGTGCCCAGCCCCAGTGTCAGTGGCACACGGGACCTCAGGAGAAAGGCAAAGTCTTGGTCCCACCCTAGACCTGCTCTGGGGGTGGAGCCAGGCGGGTGTGTTCATGGAGCCCTCTGGGGGATGTTAGCGCACAGGGGAGCCTGGGGAGCCCTGGTCCAGCTCCCTATTGGGTCTGCATTTAAGCAGCCCAGGTGACCTGCTTGGAGAACCCCACTTTGAGAAACACTAGCGTTGCGTATCCCACAAGCAACCTGCATGTCCCCCAGGTCCCTCGGTTCATCGCTCCCACCTTGCTTTGTCCACCGCCAGGGGAACCCGCACAGCCTCTTCCAAGTTCAGCCCAAACGCTGAGGACACATCCAGGAACTTTCTGTTCTAGAATCACAGAGGCGGAGGGGAGGGGGTGGGGAGGAGGAGCTGTCAACATCTCATCTCAGAAGCCAGCGGCTCCTGTGTGACTTGATGGGAACTGTGTCGGAGATAATTACCGCTCGCTCCCACACGCGCCAGAAATCGGATCTCTCTGCATACTCCCGTCCAAGGTGCGCTGAGCAGAGAGTCAGCAACTAGCCGTGGATCGTGTTGAAGTCGTGACTTAGGTTTCCAAGAGTAGGTTGAGCCTTGAGACAGAAAGCAGCTGGCAGCATCTGAAATCGGATCAGGAGGCTCTGCTCCCCTCTGCACTCCGGGCGTGCAGTTCCCGGGCAGCCCGACCCCTCCGAGGTTGCAGACCCCACCAGACTAAGCCCCATGACCCGCCAGGAGGAAACAAATTATGTCTTCACAGGAGCAGAGGGTCTCAGCTGGGGGCAGTTTTCTTCCCCGGGGACTCTTGGCAATGTCTGGGGACATTTTTTTTTTCGGCATATTATGGGGGTACAGATTTTAAGGTTTCAATAAATGCCCATTTCCCCCCCTCCTCCCACAAGTCTGAGTCTCCAGCATGACCATCCCCCAGATGGTGCACATCTCGCTCATTATGTATGTATAGACCCGCCCCCCTCCCCCCTGGGGACATTTTTGATTGTCACAGCTGGGAAGAGGGGGAGCTCCTGGCATGGGGTGGTGGAGGCAGGGACGCTGCTCAGCACCTGCAGTGTCCAGGATGCCCCGCCCCAGAGGATGACCCAGCCCGGTGTCCGCAGCGCCCGGGGGAGAGACCCTGTCGTGCAGTATTATTGGTCCTCAGTAGCCCCCCAGACACGTGTCCATAAATGAATGTCCCAAACCAATTTGCCACCAAAAAACTAATTTGTTCACTGGCTCTCGAGTGTCCCTTTATCTTTGAAGGAAAAGATTTCACGCCAAACTGGGTAATTTGAGAACCCCAAACTAAGTCCACTTCCCCTTGTAGCAAAATCTGTCACTTCAAACTGTTATTTCAAAATCTGAGCCGAGGGCAAGCACTCGGGAGGTGGCCTGCGTAGACAAGGAGCTGGGGCGGTACCGCTCGTGGCCACCAGGGGGCGCACGACTGCCTGTGCTGCCAGGCCCACCTGCGGGCTGGAGCATCAGGCGGGGGTGAAGGGGGCGGCGCTGGTCCCAAAACAACCCAGGCTGGAGCCCAGGTGCAGACATCAGAACTGGCTCTCCTTTCAGAATGACACACAGGAAACGTCCCCCTGAGCAGGGCTGTCCTGCTCCCATGAGGCCACAAATGTGCACGCAGCTGACCAGCCTGAGCCCAACTCCTGGGCGCAAGCAATCCTCCCACCACAGCCTCCCAAAGTGCTGGGATTACAGGTGTGAGCTGCCACACCTGGCCTATTACACATTGTTTTATTTTGTATTTCCATGATTATCTTCATGAATGGAACATCTCTTATATTTGTTCTGCGAATTGTCCATTCATCTCTCTTCCCATTTTTATTTCAAGATGCTTGATCTCTCTCAAGTGCTCTGTCTCATAGATAATCAACATTTCCTGCCAGCCTGTAGCTTGTATTTTAAACCCATTCACAGTGTCTTTTACTATGGAAGGTTTTGGAACTGTTCGATGCAGTCAAATTTATTAGTATATTTTTTTCTACCTCACTCTAAACATACCTGCTCTTACATAGGCCCTGGTGCCTAGAAGGTTTTCAGAAACATGTCTTAAATGAATAAAAGCCCACAGCATATGCAGCTCCTTCTCTGAGCAGCCTCATTCTCCAAATAGTTATGAATAAATATTGCACACTATGAATTCTTCCATAGGAAAGAATCATCCCTGGTGTGCTGGTATTACGAGGCATCTTTCTTATTGTGAATTATGGAAAACAGAAACAGGATCAAGTCACTCGGTGTCTCATGATAAAAATAGCTGCCCACATATTGCGTGTTCCCCATGATGAAGCAAATGCCGTGCAGGCGGGACATGGCATTAAACGCTAAGAACTCGTACACATCTCCTGGTAGCCTCTGCGAAACTGAACTCGGTCTTTAGACACCTTCAGTCTCTGTGCCTCCTCCAGCCTTGCCTATTTTAGGGACCAACACCAGAATCCATCCGATTGCTCAAACCAGAAGGCTAGAAGTCATCCCCGACACCTCCTCCCCCCGCAGCCCACACAGGCAAACCAATGCTGAGTCTTGTCGATTATTCACGCTCCAAAATATTTCTCAAATTCACCCACTCACTCCATCACCTCCCCTGCCAACTCCCTCATCCAAACTGCCATCGATTCTTGCCTAAGTGGCTTTTAACTAGCCTCTCTGCTTCTGTACTTGCTTCCCTGTAACTCAGGCTTTCTTTACACAGGACTCAAAATTATCTTAAAACATAAGTTAGATTACAACTCTCACCTACTTCAAACCCTTCAGGAGGGCCAGGCGCGGCGGCTCACGCCCGTAATCCTAGCACTCTGGGAGGCCGATCAAGGTCTTGAGGTGGGTGGATCACTCAAGGTCAGGAGTTCGAAACCAGCCTGAGCAAGAGTGAGATCCGTCTCTACTAAAAATAGAAAGAAATTAATTGGCCAACTAAAAATATATAGAAAAACTTAGCCAGGCATGGTGGCACATGCCTGTAGTCCCAGCTACTCAGGAGGCTGAGGCAGGAGGATTGCTTGAACCCAGGAGTTTGAGGTTGCTGTGAGCTAGGCTGATGCCACAGCACTGTAGCCCAGGCAACAGAGTGAGACTGTCTCAAAGAAAACAAACCTTCAGTGAATCACACATGCACTTACGGTAAAGTCCAAATTCTGCAACATAGTCTGTGAGCCCTGCCCTTATCTCTCCTCTCCCGGAATGGTCCTCTCCATTCACTTCTCAGCACACTTGACTTGGTTAATTCCCACAAAGAACTCTCTTTTTTTTCTTCATGGTGCTCAAGTCCAACCTATAGTTTTCCTATTACGTGTATGTATTAGTTATCTATTGTTGCATGACAAGTGATCCCAAAACTTAGTGGCTTGAAACAGCATGCAGTATCTCAGTTTCTGTGGGGCAGGAATCCAGGTGCAGTTTAGCGGGGTCTTCTTCTTCATTATGTCCAGTCCACACCCAAAGAGAGGGGGTGAATTACACAAGGCCAGGGAAACCAGGAGGTAGGGATCATCTGGGACGTCTTAGAAGTCTACCTGCCGCAGTATGTTATTGCTTCGTTCACGCTTGTCTCTCTCCCTGCACCATAACCTGTGAAGGCGGGGGCTTTGCTTTTTCTTCCATTTGTTATTTAACAAATTTTTTTTGAGACAGAGTCTCACTTTGTTGCCTGGGCTAGAGTGCCGTGGCATCAGCCTAGCTCACAGCAACCTCCAACTCCTAGGCTCAAGCAATCCTTCTGCTTTAGCCTTCCGAATAGCTGGGACTACAGGCATGCGCCACCATGCCTGGCTAATTTTTTCTATATATTTTTAATTGGCCAATTAATTTCTTTCTATTTTTAGTAGAGACGGGGTCTCAGCTCTTGCTCAGGCTGGTTTCGAACTCCTGACCTTGAGCCATCCTCCTGCCTCAGCCTCCCAGAGTGCTAGGATTACAGGCGTGAGACACCGTGCCCGGCCTATTTTAAAATTTTAAAATTTGTTTTTAAAAATTATAGTGACATAGACATAGCAAAATCTACCATCTTAACCATTTTTAGAGTACAGCTCAGTGGCATTAAGCACATTCACAGTGCTGTACAGCCATAACCATCCTCCATCTCTAGAACTTTCTCATCCTCCCAAAGTGACACTGTCCCCATGAAACACTCGCTCCCCACTCCCTCTCCAGCCCCTGGCACCCATCATCCTACTTCCTGTCTCTGTGGATCTGATGACTCTAGGGACCTCCTGTGAGTGGAACCACACAGGATTTGTCCTTCTGTGACTAATGTCTCTCACTGAGCATCCCTTCTCATGCTGAGCTCATGGTAGGCCAGCAAAACGATTTTGGCTGACAAAGGAGTCCAGTCTTCTCCATAAGTTGGGTTGCTTTGATGAGGTTGTGGAGCAGTTTTTTTAATTGATCTAAAAAATATTGATTGTTAATAACCAGCCTTGATTTTACTTGACCTATCAGCAGCATTAACACAACCACCAAGATGATTCCATTAAAATATGTTGGATTTATCACATCTCTGATCAAAATTCTACAATGGCTCTCTATTTCCCGCAAAGGTCTCTCAATGTCCTCTAAGGCCCTTCATGCTCTATCTCCCTGATCTCCAGCTATGCTTCCCCACTTCACTTTGTTTTGCCCATAGTGGCCTTGTACACTCCTGACCTCAGGGCCTTTGCACTTGCAGTTCCTTCTGTATGTAATGCTTTGCCTTCATATATCCATTTGACTAACTTCACCATGTTCAAGTCTTTTCTCAAATCTCTCTCAATGAGATCTATCTGAGTATCTTATTTAAATAGGAACTCACCAGTTTGCACTTTTTTTTTTTTTTTTTTTGAGACAGAGTCTCACTCTGTTGCCTGGGCTAGAGTGCAAAGGCATCCTTATAGCTCACTGCAAACTCAAAACTCCTGGGCTTAAGCCATCCTCCTGCCTCAGCCTCCTGAGTAGCTTGGACTATGGGTACAGGCCATCATGCCCAGCTAGTTTTTCTATTTTTAGTAGAGACGGGGTCTTGCTCTTGCTCAGGCTTGTCTTGAAGTGCTGAGCTCAAGTGATCCTCCTGCCTTGGCCTCCCAGAGTGTTGGGTTGCTGGTGTGAGCCACCACACCCAGCCCCCACCTAGCACTCTTGATAGCTCTTACTAGGCTGTATTATTCTAGAGCACTTGTCACCTTCTGACTTAACTCTCTATTGTATTATGTTTCTTATTTTCTGTGTCTTCTCCTAGAACCTAGCCTCTGAAAGGGGAGAGATCTTTGTTTTGTTCACAGATGTTCTTATAGGAAAGGTCCTGACACATAGATGCTCAACAAAGATTTGAGATTTTTTTTTAAATATGCATTCATTCACATACTTATCATTTTTTGCGGTGAAAATACTTAAAATCTACCTTCTTACAAATTTTAAGGTATACAATACATTGTTATTAACTGTAGTCACCATGATAGACAATAGATCACTTGAACATATTCCTCTTGTCTTCCAACAGAGATTTGTTGGACCAATGAATCTGCTTCTTTTTTTAAATGCATTTTTTATTTTATTATATTTTTTGAGACAGAGTCTCACTCTGTGGCCCTGGCTAGAGAGCAGTGGCATCATTGTAGCTCACTGCAGCCTCCAACTCTGGGCTTAAGTGACCCTCCTGCCTCAGCTTCTCAAGTAGCTGGTACTACAAGGGCATTGTACCACACCTAGCTAATTTTTTCTATTTTTTTTTCTTTTTGTAGAGATGGGGGTCTCACTCTTGCTGAGGCTGGTCTTGACCTCCTGACTCAAGTGATCCTCCCCCTTTTGCCTACCAGAGTGTTAGGATTAAAGGGGTGAGCCACCATGCCTCACTAAATCTCCTTAATAGTATGGAGATTTCTCAAAGCATTAAGAATACAATTACCCTAAGATCCAGCAATCCCACTACTGGGTATCTACCCAAAGGAAAAGAAATCAATACATTAAAAACATACCTGGGCTGGCTGTGGTGGCTCACGTCTATAATTCTAGCACTCTGGAAGGCCAAGGTGGGTGGATCACTCAAGATCAGGAATTCAAAACCAGCCTGAGCAAGAGTGAGACCCCATCTCTACTAAAAATAGAAAGAAATTAATTGGCCAACTAAAAAATATATAGAAAAAAATTAGCCAGGCATGGCACACTCCTGTAGTCCCAGCTACTCGGGACTGAGGCAGAAGGATTGCTTGAGCCCAGGAGTTTGAGGTTGCTGTGAGCTAGGCTGACACCACGGCACTCTAGCCTGAGCAACAGAGTGAGACTCTGTCTCAAAAAAAACAACAACAAAAAATACAAACCTGTATTTGTATGTTAACTGCAGCACTATTCACAATAAGGCAGATATAGGATCAACCTAAGTGTCCATCAGTGGAGGATTGGATAATGAAAATGTGGTGTGTATATACGCAATGGAATACTATTCAGCCATAAAAAGGAGCAAAATTATGTGTTTTGCAGCCACATGGGTGGAACTGGAGCCATTATCTTAAGTGAAACTGCATGTTCTCACTTACAAGTGGGAGCTCAACATGTGCACAGGTGGGAGCACAGTGTGGAACAACAGACAGTGGAGACTCGGGGAGGTGTGGGCGGGAGTGGTGGGCGATGGGTGGTGCTTGGTGGGTACAATGTGCATTTAGTGACAGATGCACTGAAGGCCCCCACTGCACCACAATGCAATATATCAATGTAGCAAAGTTGTACTTGTGCTCCATGGATATAGACAAATAAAAAATAAATATGAGGCGGGCAGATTGCTCGACGTCAGGAGTTCAAAACCAGCCTGAGCAAGAGCGAGACCCTGTCTCTACTGTAAATAGAAAGAAATTAATTAGCCAACTAATATATATAGAAAAAATTAGCCGGGCATGGTGGTGCATGCCTGTAGTCCCAGCTACTTGGGAGGCTGAGGCAGAAGGATTGCTTGAGCCCAGGAGTTTGAGGTTGCTGTGAGCTAGGCTAACGCCACGGCACTCACTCTAGCCTAGGCAACAAAGCGAGACTCTGTCTCAAAAAAAACCAAAAACATAAATAACATAAATAAAGGAATCTGCTTCTTAGCCGTGGGGAAGGGCATCAGCGGCGAGGATGCTCAGGGAGGAGCCCTCGCCCGTGTAGGAAATCGCCTCCCATTTCCCGCCAACCGTCCCTGGCAGCAGGATTCAGCACCAGGCGCCCCTGGACAGCTCTGGGAGCCAAACCCAGCCGGAACCGCTCCTCGGCGGCCCGAGTTTTCCGCCGGAGCCTCCTGGTGGCTGCACCCATCGCTCCACTGGAGGAAACTACTTTCCCGTGCCGGTAGGAGAGGTGGAGTCGCAGGATGAGTGGCAGCCTCATTAGCCAATGGTGAGGAGCTTTCGGCGGGCGGTGCTCGGGGAGACCAATGGGCAGGGGCGTGGGCGGGACGTGGGCAGCGGCGCGCCGAGCTGGTGCTGCCTGAGGCCGCGGGTGTAGGGTCGGGACCGCGGGGCAGTTGGGCTGCGGGCGGCGCTGGACGGCGGCCGAGGGGCCCGGCGAAGGTAGTATGTGCGGGCCGAGGGGATGGGGGGCCGGGGCGGTGGGGCGCAGCCGGGCGGCTGGTGGCTTGGCGGACTCTGCCCGCTCTTTAGCCGCGGCCAGGCTCCGGCGTCCCACAGCGGGAGGCACACAGGAGGCGCTTATTAAGTGCTGAATGAATGAATGAGTCCGTCCCCTCTGTGGCCTGGCCCAATCAGCCTCCAGTTTGAGAGCGTCCAGGCCTTCCTTACCCCCACTCTACAGACTGGGGCATCCAGCTATCTGACACGTTTATTGGGCGCCTACTGTGTGCCTCTGTGGCTTTGCGCTGGATGCTGCCGGGCTTGAACAGAGCAGCCACCCTGCCCTCGTGGAGCTTACAGCCTAGGGGGAGGGACAACTTTAAAGGACTTTAAATGATGTAGTTCCCCAGTAGCACGGGATAGAAGAAAATAACGTTAAGGAAGGGGATGCAGGGGGCCTCTTTGACCTGGATCTCAGAGCAGAGACCTGAAGACCTGAATGAAGAGAGGGAGCAGGCTATGGGAAGAGCTAGGGGCCTGGGGTTGGGGGGAAACCCCAAGGACAGGGGAGGGACCGAGATTCCTCCTAATAATGGTGACATTTTGGAGTCCAGGGTGAAACATACCCTACTTTTGCCCATTGAGTCACATAAAGAGGCCCTGGTCAGTGTCCACACACTTCAGTTCTCCCATTTGTTGAGGCAGCAGTTGCTGAGCTTCTGTTCTCGTGTGGCAGGTGCAAGGCACACGGTTTAGAGCAGAGGTCAGCTGGAGGGGGCCCTTCTGAGGGGCCCTTGAGGCAGTGAACCAAAAGACAAAAAGACATCACTGGATTGTGGGGGGAAGTGGGTGTGTAGAGTGTTCCAGGCAGACAGAGAACAACCTGTGCAAGGGCCCTGAGGCACGTACAAGCTTGGCACACTCTCTCTGTCCAGAGCTCTAGCCTAAGGGTAAAGGGTTGGTATTTTATGTCACGGCGGTGAGAAGCCGCTGGAGCAGGACCATTCAGTAGAACATTCTGTAGCCATGGAGATGTTCTCTGTCTGTGCTGCCTAACCTAGTAACCACTAGGCTCATGTGGCTACCAAGCATTCAAAATGTGGCCTGCCAGACCGAGGATCAGAATTTTAGATTTTATTTAATTTTAATTAAAGAGACACACACTGGTAGATGCCACAGCCCTGGAGAATTTTCTGTAGGAGGCAGTGACATGTAGCAAGCCAGAGAATGGAGTGAAGTTCTTGGTGTGACAGCCTCAGTCACCTGAACTGGTTAGATAATCGGACAGCTAACACGGTTGCCCCTCGTGTTCACAGTTGCTGGACTGAGGCATGAGCCTCCAGCCGCGTGGCCTGGCCCGGTAGCACGGCGTGGGGCGGAGTGTGTGCCTGCACATGGTTTGGGCCCTGCGGTGACCAGAGCAGCCCAGGCCGCCGCCATGGCGAAGTTGTTGGTGGCCAAGATCCTTTGCATGGTGGGTGTGTTCTTCCTGATGCTGCTGGGCTCTCTGGTCCCCGTGAAGATCATCGAGACGGACTTTGAGAAGGCCCATCGCTCGAAAAAGATCCTCTCTCTCTGCAACACCTTTGGAGGTGGGGTCTTCCTGGCCACCTGCTTCAATGCTCTGCTGCCTGCCGTGCGGGAGAAGGTACGAGTTCCCTGGGGAGTGGTGGCAGCCTGTGGCCACCTTTTGGGCAAGGGGCTGTGATGCGTTTTCAACATTGATCCCAAGTTCCAGTGGGGTCCTTGATGCGGCGAGGGTGATGAGGGGTAGAAAAAGAATTTGCTGTGTGATTGTGCATTGGTTGCTCTTCCTCTCTGCGCCTTGCAATCAAGGGGTTTGGAGTAGGCCTGGGATTCCCAACCAGTGGGCTTGTTGGTTGTCACCTGATAAATTTTCAAACTAGACCACCCACCCCAGGTAGCACAGACTCTGTCTGGAAGCTGGAAAGTGTGGCCTTTCTTCTTCTGTTCCCGTATTAGTCAGCTATTGCTGCGTAATGAGTTCTGACAAACTTAGCATCTTAAGACAAAAGACGTTTATTATCTCACCATTTCTGTGGGTCAGGAGTCTGGGCACTGCTTCGGGATTTCACAAGGCAACATTCAAGGCATCTCCTGGGCTGTGGTTTCATCTGAACGTTCAACTAGGGATGGGTCGGCTTCCAAGCTCACGTGGTTGTAAGACAGATTCAGTTCCTTGGCAATTTTCAGACCATGGGCCCCTGTTTCTCACTGGCTGTTGGCCAGGGGCAGCGCTCCTTGCCTTGTGGGCCTCACCCAGGTGGTCAGTTGCTTCATCTGCAAGCAGAGGAGACAGCACAGCCAGCCTGCAAGACAGAAGTCACAGTGTTGTGTATCATAGTGATGGATACTGCCCTAGTGTTCTGCTGGTTAGAAGCGAGTTCCAGGTCCCTCCCACACTCAAGGGGTGAGGACCCTGCAGGGATCACTGGGGCCCATCTTGGAGTCTGTCTGCCCCAACTCCTAAAATGACCCGGTCCTTGAGCTCAGTGACATCGGGAGCCTTTGTAGGGCCACAGCCGGATGGGCCATTGGCGTGCCTGCTGGGGCACCCCAGGTGAGCTGCCTCCTCTCTCTGGGCCAATGCCAGACGTGTTGGTTGGGTTTGCATTGCACTACGTTCTTGGTGGAGACATGAGGACCCCAGTTCTCCCCCTGGCCCCACGAGGTACGGAAGCCCCCAGTTTATTCACCCTTTCCTCTGGGTGGGGCTGGGACCACGGTGGGGTGTCACTCCCGCAACCATTCCGTCCAGCAGAAGGGATTTTGCAGCTGTGATGACAGCCCCTAATCAGTTGACATCGAGTAATCCAAAGGGAGAGTGGCTAGGAGGTGAGGCCTAATCAGGCAAGCCCATCACCCTCCTGCTGGCCTTGGAGAAGCAAAAAGCCACGGTGTACAAGAGGAGAGACACAGGCAAGGCCCCGAGGTGGCCTCTCGGTGCTAAGAGCTGTCCCCATCAACAGCCAGCAAGGACACGGGGACCTCAGCCTCAAGGAAATGGATTCTGATGGCCACCAGTGAGCTTGGAAGAGGACCCAGGGCCTCAGATGAGGTTTCAGCCCAGCAAGACCCTGAGCCGAGGACCTAGCCAACCCATGCCTAGATTTCTGACGTTCAGAACTGAGACGATGCATTTGAGTTGTTCGGTGCCCCTAAGTCTGTGTTCGCTGTTAGCATCGAAAGCTAACACTTGGCACCGATGAGGATAAAAATCTGAGTTGTGCCAGGCACGGTGGCTCATGCCTGCAGTCCAGCCACTTGGGAGGCCCAGGCGGGAGGATCACTGAGGCCAGGAGTTCCAGACCAGCCTGGGCAGCATGGAGAGACCCCATCTCTATGAAAAACAAAACAACTTAGTTGTGTCTGATGTGTTCTGCACCTGAAATGCCACATCCAGCCCTCCTTGTCCCACACAGCCATCATGTCATCCCCAGTCTGTGCTCTTCCTGCCCCCTTCCTCGCATGCAACCTTCTCAGGACTCCCCCAACCATACCCCCGCCGCACCCCCTGCCCTCAGGGACGTAGTCCCTCCTCCGGACTGCACAGCCTCACAGACGGCCTCCAGAAAATGGTGCCTAGCTCATGGCTCTCTCTGTGTGCGTCTCATCTGTCCTGATCAGTTTGTCCCTTTGGGCATACCTGGACTTCCTCATGAGATGCGTGTCCCCAGGTGAGGCATGTGGGAGGCCTCTAATAGATCCCTAGGGAGCAAGTCCAATGGCTTCTCTACAGAAACGGCCTCTGCTGCAGGTGGACTCTCACCCAGGGGTAACCCTGGGCCATGTCTGGGGGACATTTGTGGTTGTCACTACTGGAAGTGCTCCTGCCACAGAGCAGGTGGGGGCAGGGACGCTGCTCAGTGCCCTGCAGGGCCTAGGACGGCCCCATCCCAGACAACAGTCTGGCCTCAAATGTCAGCACCTTGTCCCCGGCCCAGTCGTGAAAACCAAAAACGTTTCTAGACATTGTCAGGTGTCCCCTGGGCGCAGAGTCTCCCCAGTTGAGAACCACTCTGTGTGTGTGTGTGTGTGCGTGCGTGCGCACCCCTTTGGGACACTTCTTTATCCTTAAGGCCTGATGCCTAAGTGACCAGGCGTCGCCCTCACAGGAAGCTTGTTCGTGGTGCAGACTCCCTCGCAGCTCTTGTCTGACCCCCGTGCAGTTTGTTCCTACCACCACGGCCCTCTCTAGGGGAGCCCTGCCCAGGAGAGAGTTAGGTGAGATCCCAGGGGGAGTGGGGGGAGATTAGCTGGCGGGCAGAGGGAGCGAGGGAGAGCAAGTGAGCGATTCAGGGGACCTGTGCCCCGAAGCCTTAATTGGGTCCCTGTCGTTACCCAAGTCAGTTTCCCACAGGGAGTTCTTTTTTTTTTTTTTTTTTTTTGGGACAGAGTCTCTCTTTGTTGTCCAGGCTAGAGTGAGTGCCGTGGCGTCAGCCTAGCTCACAGCAACCTCAAACTCCTGGACTCAAGCGGGTCTCCTGCCCAGCCTCCCAGTAGCTGGGACTACAGGCATGCGCCACCATGCCCAGCTCATTTTTATATATATATCAGTTGCCAATTAATTTCTTTCTATTTATAGTAGAGATGGGGTCTCGCTCTTGCTCAGGCTGGTTTTGAACTCCTGACCTTGAGCAATCCGCCCGCCTCGGCCTCCCAAGAGCTAGGATTACAGGCGTGAGCCACAGCGCCCGGCCCCACAGGGAGTTCTGATTGGGTTTGGGGCCAGCAGGCGCCAGCTCCGTGGGGTCCCGCTGGACTGAGAGAGGGTCATTTGGGCATATCTGCCCAGTCCAGGCAGGCAAGTCACGCAGGCTGTATCCAGCCGTCCCGACTTCTCTTTTTCTGCCTTTCGTAAGGGTGCCTGTCCCAGGAAACCCAGGGCCACACCTTACCTTCCCCTGCGCCTCCCGGTGGCTGCCGTAGTGAAACACCCCAGCCCAAGGTCAAGGCCAGCAGAGCGGGTTCCTCCTGAAGCCTCTCTCTTTGCCACCTCTTCACACAGTTCCCTGGTGCCTGTTCCTTTCTTATAAGAAAACTACTCCTGGGCCGGGCATGGTGGCTCACACCTGTCATCCCAGCACTTTGGGAGGCAGAGATGGGAGGATCGCTCATGGCAGGAATTTGAGACCAGCCTGGGCAACTAGCCAGACTCTGCCTCTACAAAAAATTTAAAAATTAGCCAGGCGTGGTGGTGCACACCTGTAGTCCCCGCCAGAGCAGAGGCAGGACAGGACCCAGAGTTGGAGCGCAGTGAGCTGTGATGACACCACTGCACTCCAGCCTGGGTGACAGAGGAAGACCCTGTCTCTACAAAAAAAAACAAAAAACAAGTTCTATTCGATCTATTAGATTAGGGCCTCACCCCAATACCCCATTTTAATTTAATCGCCTCTTTAAAAGACCTTATCTCCAGATATTATATTTTGAGCTACTGGGTGTTGAGGGACTTCGACATATAAATGGGGGAAGGACACAATTGAGTCTCTAGCACCTTAATCACGTTCAGTTGTTCCCAATGAGGTCTCGTCTGAGCTTCTACGTGGACATATCTTTTGGCGGCCCCAATTAAGCCACTGTGGTACCTTAAAATCATTGAGTCGATGTGACTGGAGACCTTGGGGTTTCTTACCATTGTTGTTTTTTATTTTTTATTTTTTTGAGACAGAGTCTCGCTTTGTTGCCTAGGCTAGAGTGAATGCCATGGCGTCAGCTTAGCTCACAGCAACCTCAAACTCCTGGGCTCAAGCGATCCTCCTGCCTCAGCCTCCCGAGTAGCTGGGACTACAGGCATGCACCACCATGCCTCCCGTGGTGCTAATTTTTTCTATATATATTAGTTGGCCAATTAATTTCTTTCTATTTATAGTAGAGAGGGGTCTCACTCTCTCTCAGGCTGGTTTCAAACTCCTGACCTCCAGCGATCCTCCCGTCTTGTCTTCCCAGAGTGCTAGGATTACAGGCGTGAGCCACCATGCCTGGCTCACCATGGTTGTTCTTTAATCCATCATAGGCAAGCCCTCCCTCCCTGCCCCGCTCTTTCCTAACCTGGGTGTGAATCAGGCGTTTTTGTGCTTTTCTGATGAAACGGTGACGTGTCCCTGTCCCGCGCGTGTCCCCGCCGCAGCTCCAGAAGGTCCTGAGCGCCGCACACATCAGCACAGACTACCCGCTGGCCGAGACGCTGCTGCTGCTGGGCTTCTTCATGACGGTCTTCCTGGAGCAGCTGGTCCTGACCTTCCGCAAGGAGAAACCGTCCTTCATCGACCTGGAGACCTTCAACGCCGGCTCGGACGTGGGCAGCGACTCGGAGTACGAGAGCCCCTTCATGGGGGCCGCGCGGGGCCACGCGCTCTACGTGGAGCCCCACGGCCACGGCCCTGGCCTGAGCGTGCAGGGCCTGGCGCGGCCCAGCCCCGTGCGCCTGCTCAGCCTGGTCTTCGCCCTGGCGGCCCACTCGGTCTTCGAGGGCCTGGCCCTGGGGCTGCAGGAGGAGGGCGAGAAGGTTGTGAGCCTGTTCGTGGGGGTGGCCGTCCACGAGACGCTGGTGGCGGTGGCCCTGGGCATCAGCATGGCCAGGAACGCCATGCCCCTGAGGGACGCAGCCAAGCTGGCAGTGGCCGTGAGTGTCACCATCCCGCTGGGCGTGAGCGTGGGCCTGGGCATCGAGAGCAGCCAGAGTGTGTCCGGCAGCGTGGCCTCCGCGCTGCTGCAGGGCCTGGCAGGTGGCACCTTCCTCTTCGTCGCCTTCCTCGAGATCCTGGCCAAGGAGCTGGAGGAGAAGGGCGAGCGCCTGCTCAAGGTCCTCTTCCTGGTGCTGGGCTACGCCGTCCTGGCCGGCATGGTCTTCCTCAAGTGGTGAGTGTCCTCGCCCATCCTCGCCGCTGCAGCCCGGAGTCCCGGCCACACTCAGGCCGCGTCCTGTGAGAGGGGGTGCCATGGCCCCACTCACCCAGGCACCAGGGGCCTCCGGACCGCTGCGCCCCAGACCCCGCGCCCCGAGCCTCAGGGCACTGCCCCTTTTGGAAATACTTCTCTTAAAAGTATTCAGCGAAGCTGCATGGCCTGTCAACCTCGGACAATGGGTCTCGCCACTCGAGGGAGGTGGGACTGGGGCGGGCAGCGCCGTCTGCACCACAGGAGGCCTCGGTCTGTCCTGCCCTGTTGCCGAGACCTGACCCCACCGCCTGCCCCCCAGGTCCCAAGAGTGGCCCAAGGTTTATGAGAGGTTCGAGTCGCTGCGATGGGGCACGTCGGGTGGTTTCTGAAGGAGCCCCTCAGCGTGGAACCCCCATTTCACAGCTAGACGGCCCAGGCCCTGCCCCTCCTGCCACGCCACTTTGTGCCCCAGAGCGCGAACGCACCCTGAGCCCTCGGCGCGGCCCCTCCCCCTCTCCTTCTCGTGTGGCCCCTTGGAGCTGGGAGGAGCTGGGACCACCAGGCCGGGTGAGCAGTGCTTGGCCACCAGTGCTCAGCTCCAGACACGCCCAGGGTCTCCAGAGGAAGACAGACCCCACCGGCCACGGGGCAGGCCCCGTGGTGCAATCGCCCCGCCAGACATGCCACACCGTGAGACCAGTCACCACCCCGGAGACCGCCGAGTGTGGGCAGGGGAAGCCCTGGGCTCTGGTTCCATGGCAACCTCCCCTCACCTGGCCCGTCGTCCCGGTAACCCTGGTGGCCTGTCTTGGGACACGGGCATCAGTGAGACACCCTCCTCCAGGGACCTGGCTCTGCCTGGCTCGAAGCCTCTGGGGCGCAGCTTGAGGGAGCCTGGCGGCAGCCTGGGCCTCTGCCTCTGGCAGCTCTGGCGGGGCCTCCTTGCGCCTGGCGCGCTCTGGCCTCCCTCATCCGCTCGGCTGGCATCAAGGCCCAGGATCCGGATTCTCGTCCTGTGCTCCGAAGACCAAGCTGCGGGCACCAGTTAAGCCCCCGACAAGGAGGGGCCGCCCTCTGCCGGTGGCCCTGGGCTGGGCAGGGCCTCCCCCGCCACTGCGGCCAAATGGGGGGTTCCAGGCCCCGAGAATGACTGGTCTGCTGTCGCCAGCTCAGCCCCTCTGTGCACCTGGTCCAGGAAGAAATGACCTTTGAGACAGCCCTGGCCCCCTTAGGAGTTGTTAGCAAATCTCAGGAAATAAACCAGAGTTCACCCCCAGCTCCTGGGGGTCTGGGACGTGGTCTGAGACCCCCCATCTTCCACTCAGGGGGGCCCCGCTGTTGCCGTTGGGAGTATTGGGCCCATTCCTAGGAGCTTCTGTCTGAATCTTTTCCCGGGGACCGTCTCTGACCTCCGTGTAGCCTGACCCTGTCCCCGTGCCAGGACAGTGGCCCCATGGGGGTAGGAGTGTTGCCGTGCCTGAAACTGTTTTTCCACCTCCGCCTGCCATTTCACCTGGAAACCATGCCCAAGCACCAGAAGGTTCCACCACTGGCCTTTGCCCTGGGCGGGTGGGTCCATGTGAGGCCTGGACCCGTGCCAGGGGATGTCTGCAGTCTGTATGCAAATCCCCCGGAGCCCCACGTGGGGGCAGAGCACAGTCCACTTGGGGATCCCCCCCTCTGCCAAAAGCAGGAAATGGGTCCTTGCTCTCCTACCAGCCGTCAGTTTTTCAGGGCACCCTGGGGACACCAGCAAGCCTGCTGACCCCAGCCCGAGGGCCCCAAGGCGCCTCCTCTCCTCCCCAGAGGAGCCTCCGAGACCATGTCATCCCCCAAGGGTGCCACCAAGCCACCAGGGGGCCCCAGGGTGTGGAAAGGCCCCAAGAGCCCACCCACCAGTCTCCTGCACACCTTTAGGGCCACAGTTGGAAACGTGGGACCCGGGCAGAGCCACCCTGGGGGCCTCAGCCCAGCAGTCTCGGCCTCCCTAGCCCTGCCATGTGCCTCCTGCCTGCTGCAGGGCTGTGGCCGGGCCGGCTGCCTTTCTCTCCTTAGGGTCCCGCCGGACCCAGCAAAGCTACTTCCAGGCCCCGACGAGGACTCCGGGACCCCCGAGAGGTCTGGGGGAAGGCTGGGCTGGTGTGGCAGGGCCACAGCCTGCCGGACCCCCACGCCTGTGTCCAGCCTCCCGGCTGCTGAGCTCAGAGGACAGGGCCGGCTCGGCCAGCCGCAGAGGCCACAGGGTGACTGGGGCTGGTTTTGGTCCGCTTTCCCTACTCTTAATGAGGAAATCAGAGCTGCTCCATGTCGGCGTGAGAAGAATTAGGGCTGTCAGCTCGCCCACCTGAGGGGGAGAAGCAGGGCCACTCCTGAGGCCCAGAGCTGGACCCCAGCGGCTGTGACCACAGCACACTGTCACCCGGTAGCAGGAGCTTCCGGTGGAGGAAGGCTGTGGATGTGTCACTGCCCGCAGCTACGGACCGGCCCCTGCCTGGACACAGCATCACGAGCAATGCCAGGCGGGCCAGCACCCGCCACAGAAGGCCTCATCTACCTCTGTGGCTCTGTGGCACTTTGGAAGTGTCCTGTGGCCTGCAGGAGCACAGAGGCCTCCTCCTCAGGGGTGTCTCTCACTGACTGTGATTCTCAGTCAGGGGGGGGATTCAGGACTCTGCCCCCCAGGGGACACTGGGCTGTGTCTGGGGACACCTATGGTTGTCCTAACTGGGCAGCTCCTGGCCTGGGGTGGGTGGAGGCAGCGACACTGCTCAGCACCTGGAGCGCCCAGGACGGCCCCTCCCCCCAGAGAACGCTCTGGCCCCCAAAGGTCCACAGTGCGCAGGGGCAGAGACCAGCCCCAGCTGCTAGGAAGACCCAGCGCAAGTGCCGATGGATTGGGCACAAGGGCCAGATCGAGACAGAGACCGACAGAGGGGAGGGCGCAGGAGGCACCTGCCATTTGACCTGCAGGCAAGGGCCAGGAGCAGCCTCCGGAGCTTGGACAGCTCTCTCCCTAATAGCACAAACAGGTTTCTGTTTTGCTTGGCCAGGGCTGCTCTTGTCCGGACCTGGGCTTGTCACAGGCAAGGACCAAGGTCAGGCCCAGGCGCTGCCAGGTGCCAGCACAGACCCGTGGCCTCAGCCAGCGCCCAGGCGAGCACAGTCCCAGGGCGGGACGGGGAGGAGCCCCCTTCAGCACCCTGGGGCTGGAGAGCTAATTCAGGACTTGGGCTCAGGTCCCCTGCCCAGGTCTGGGGGGATGGCGCCTCCCTTGGGAGCCGCCCATGGGGTTCTCGGCACAGAGGCAGCCGGATGGAGTCGTCCCCCCGCCCCTGATCTGGAGACAAAAGAGCAGAAAATGGCAAGGCGGCACCGGCCTCCGGGTTGAATCAGCCGTAATAACAGCGTGTCGGGCTTCCCTCGTCTCGTGTTTGCGTTTCTGTTGCAGAAGTTATTAGCGAGGGGCGGGGACAGGGAGCACCGGTCCCCAGGGCCCTCCACGTCTTTTGGGGGCCCAGAACAACCAGCATTGGCAGATGGGATGGTGTCTCCTGGGCCACAGCGCCGTCACACTGTCCTGGCCACCCGCTCCGGGCCCTCTGCCCTGCCAGGAAGAGAGGGGCCATGTCCCACCTGTCCCAGCCGCCTTCCTGCACCCAGCATGGGCCCTGAGCTGCACCAGCTTCAGGCAAGACAGTGCCCAGCCTGTCACCAGTAAAGACTATCCAGGGTCCCCCTGCAGGTGGGGAGGCGCCAAGGCTCCAAGGGCAGAAGAGGGTCCTTCCCTGTCCCCCACCAGCAACGGCTGCTGCAGGGCCGGGGGGCTTATCCGTGAAGACCCTCCAATCCTTCTCCCTGCTTGCAGGTGCTGAGGCCAGATTGGGGTGGGGCGGGAAGATGCCCTGCCTCTGTCCCTGGTACCCACCCCAGGCCTCTGTGGGCCCCACACCTGTGGCCCCTCAGGGTAGGGACACGCTGGCCTCAGTGTTCTGGCCGAGGGCAGAAGTGACCATGCTGTGCTAGTCTCGTGGGTGGGAATCGGGTTCAGGGCCCCTGTGTTCTGGGGGCCTCGGTGCCGCATGCACTGTGGTGAGAACGGCCAGGGCTTCCATCCGAGCTAGTTCGGCCCAGCCAGACTCAGGCCAGGCAAGGTGGCCCCTAGCCCAGGGCTCCCGGCACTGTAGATGTCTGGGGCCATCCTGTGTGTCCCAGGTGCTGAGCAGCATCTGTGGCTCTGGGGCGGGCCCAAGACACTGTTTCTGCCAAGCTCCCCCTCGAGGCTGGCGCTGCTTAGGGGCGCCTTGTGGACACTGGGGCTGCGTCATCCTCTGGGCTGGGGCCGTCCTGGGCACTGCAGGTGCTGAGCAGCGTCCCTGCCCCCACCCACTCCACCCCACAGTTGTGACGACCAGAGGTGTCCCCTTACACCACCCAGAGTCACCTGGGGCAGGATGGCCCCTCAGGTGAGCAGCACTGCCCTAGGACAGGCGGCTCCCATCGTATCGAGGAAGACAGTGACGTGACATAGCATGAGCATATCAGGTAGCAATCAACGCCCTGAGAGACAGCGAGGGAGACTCTCAGCACCGTGGTCAGAGAGGTCTCCGATGTGACGTCTGGGAGGGACGGAGGAAGTGGGTTAAAAGGAGACGGGGAGAGCTTTTCTGGCAGCAGCAGCCGTCTGTGCAAAGGCCCTGGGGCCTCTGCAGAGCTCAGCTTGTTCTTCTGATGACCAAAGTGGCCGAGGCTTTCGGTACAAAACCCCCAGTGGTACTGGGGTTTATCCTGCTGGCTGTGGAGGCTTCAGTGACTCCTTGAGGAGGGCGTGAAGCAGGGTGGTCAATTAATTTCTTTCTATTTTTAGTAGAGACGGGGTCTCCTTCTTGCTCAGGCTGGTTTTGAACTCCTGACCTTGAGAGATCCTCCAGCCTCTGCCTCCCTGTGCCCACATAATTGCATTAGTGCGAGGACACGGGAGACAGCAGGGGACAGGCCCAGCTGCCCTCCTCCCACAGCCAGCCGGGGACACACAGGTTGGCCCAGGCTGGGGCACCAGGGTGGGGAGAGGTCCCACAGGGCTGCAAGGCCAGGTGAGGAGCCAGGACGTTGCCGACGAATGGGACAGGGAGGAGGGGTCACCAAGGGGCGGCCGCCCGTCCCCAGCAGGCTGGGTTGTGGCCTCAGAGCCTGATGGATCCGAGTTCCAGTTCCGACCTGGCCTCTTCCCTGCTGAGCCACCTCAGGTGAGCCGCTTTCCTTCTCTGAGCCTCAGTGTTTGGATGGTGGCAGGACAGTGGCCTCAGCATGCCATATGCGGCTCAGTGCGTGCAAGAGGCGCTCTCGTCCTGGACGCTGCCCAGCAGGGTTCACCGTGAGGATTTAGCGTGAACATGCGTGGACCCCGACAGTCTTGGGAGCTGGAGGGACTGACGGGTCCCCCTCTCCCTGCCAGGGAGGTGCTGGCCTCTGAGCTCTTCCTCGCCCACTTCTGTGTGGCTTGGGACACTCAGGGACTCTCCGAAGAGGGAGCAGGGATGAGAGGTGGCGGGGAACCCAGGAGACACGAGTCCCAGCCCTGACTCACTCAGCCTCCCGGCGTCTGAGTCCCCTTGTCCTCACTGCTGGACAGTGGAGCTTGCCAAGGAGGGGCCCAGCCCTCTGCTCCCCTCCCTGCGGTGGGGCAAGGGGTGCCCAGCTGGCGGTGGAGCCCTGGGCTCCAGGGAGAGCGAGGAGGGACTCGGCCCGTCCCCCCCGGCTCACGAGGCCCGCACCCTGGCCTGGCGCTATAAATAGCAGCCGCAGAGTGGAACTGCCGCCGTGCCCACTCTCCTACGCATGAGTCAGCCCGCCCGGCCTGGGCCGCAGCCCAGAGGAGCCAGGGAGCCGGGCAGAGCCCCGGCCGGGCGCTGGCCGGTCGCTCTGGAGACACAGGCAGGCAGAGTGGGAAGGCTGCAGGGCTGCCGTCGCTGAGTGCTCTGTGCCCGGCAGCCCCACGTGGGTGGGCAGCCTGTCCACGTGTTCCTAGCAACCCCACTGGCAGGGCAACCATGATCCTCACTGACAGATGGGGAAACTGAGGCTGGAGGGCACTTCCCTGGGATGCAGCGACACAGACCAGAAGCTGGGCTTTCTCTGCCCACAGGGCTGTCTCCGTCTCTGGCCGAGAGCACCCCAAGATGAGCCTGGGATGGATGGGGCTGGCACTCAGGTCATGTCACAGAGGTGCCTGAATGCCAGGCCAAGAAGCTGGACCTTGACCTGGGAGGAAAAGGGAGCCATGGGCAGCGTCAGAGC